AGGTATGAGACCCTGTCTCAACAAGATGAAATAAAAATACCACAGAGGAAAAAACCCAATCCTTCCTTCACCGTTCATGAATGATGTTAACATTTTGCTCTGTGTTCATAGTTGTTAGTTTTCCCCCCCAGTAAATCTGTTTTATTAAAGCAAAAAATAGAATCACCATAATCAAGAAAAACAAACAAAAACACATGGGAATACAGAATGTCTGCTCGTGAGGGCTGATTAAAAAAAAAAAACAACTTCTAAATTGCATTGTGTGTGTGTGCACGCATGCGTGCATGCTGAAGCACATACCAGGTGAAGTGTTGAGGTCAGAGAACAGCTTATGAGGATCACTTCTCTCGTGGAGCCTGGGATGGGACTCAGGTGGCCGGGCATTACAGCAAGTATCTTTACCCATGGAATCATCTCCCAGCTCCTCACACAAGCATTATTAACAACTGCCTCAAACTAGAAAAACCTAAGTATGCCCATCAAGGGATAAGTGTATAAACAAAAATGGTATGACAGAAGGGGACAGGATGTGACATTAAGATCCTGTGAGAAAAATGTCAGCCACAATGGCTCTTCTCCTAAAGGATCCCATTGCACCAGCTGTCTGTCCACCAGCTGTCTGTCCACCATAGCAAATCTGCAGACATGGAGGACAAGTGGTTGAGGTGCTGGGGGAGGGAAGCCAGTGACTGCTGGGGGAGGTAAGGCTTCTGCCTGCCGCACTGAGATGTGCTGGAATTAGAAACCTGATAGCTGTGCAACCTGGGACCCTAATAAAAGCCACTGAAGTCTGCACTGTGTGTGGGGCTGAGCTTGGACCAGAGCCTTCCACATACTAGACAAACATTCCACCCTCAGTTACACCCCCAATTTTATTTTATTTAAAAGATTTATTTATTATATATACAGTGTTCTGTCTGCATAAATACCTGCAGGCCAGAAGAGGGCACCAAATCTCATTACAGATAGTTGTGAGCCACCATGTGGGTGCTGGGAATTGAACTCTGGAAGAGCAGCCAGTGCTCTTAACCTCTGAGCCATCTCTCCAGCCTCATTTAAGATGTTTTTTTAAACTGTATTTATTTTGGTACTAGGGATCAAACCCTTGAGTGTGTTAGATCAAATCCCTGAGTATGGGAAACCAGTAATAGGAGGATTGCTATAAGTTCAAGGCCATCCTGCTCTATATAGCAATTTTCAGGCCAACCAGAGCTATATAGGGAGACATAATCATAAATAATTATAATAAATTAAAAAAAGTGTTGCTGGATGTAGTGGCTTATGCTGATAACCCACAGAACTATGAGACAGAAGGTAATGCTATGAGTCAATGGAAGTGTGAGTCTAGTCAGGGCTATCAAGTGCTAGGCCAGCTTAGGCTACTTAATGACACCCTGTCTCAATTTCCTCCCCACCGCCCCCCTAGACAGGGTTTCTCTGTGTAGCCCTGGCTGTCCTGGAACTCACTCTGTATACCAGGCTGGCCTCAAACTCAGAGATCCACCTGCCTCTGCCTCCCGAGTGCTGGGATTAAATGTGTGTGCCACCACCACCCGGCTAAAGGTTTTTTGAAAGGGATATTGTATTATGAAACTTTTTACTCAATATTTTTGAGGTCTCTGCATGTTCTTAAATTACATTATTTCTCAGTAAACAAGACATTCAACTTAATATTACCATGAGGATGGACATCTGTGGGCTGCCTTTATCTCTGTCACAATAAGCATGAACCTAAGCAAGAATCACGCAGGACACATAGTCTGGTTTGGGGTACAGAGACAAGTCCCTATTTAATTGAAATACAAGCCACATTATAATGCTAGTACCTGGGAGACAGAGGAAGGAGAGTTAAATTCAAGTTAAGATTCACTAACAGGGATGGAGAGATGGCTTAGAGGTTAAGACCACTGGCTGCTTTTCCGGGGGTCCTGAGTTCAATTCTCAGCAACCACATGATTATTCACAACCATCTGTAATGAGATCTGCTGCCCTCTTCTGGACTGCAGGCATACATGCAGACAGAACACTGTATAATAAATAAATAAATCTTAAAAAAAAAAAAAAA